AGATGAGACAGAAAGTCCTATTTATTGATCAGATACTGCTAAGAGAATGGTATGTCCTCAGAAGGTTTTTGTTAACTCCTATAGAAAAGCCATTGACTGGGAGAACATGCTCAGTTTCACCCTTTTAGATAAAACAGGAGGATTCCTTCAGTTCCTGCATGCTTTCCTCTGCTAGCAATGGTGCATGGACAGGAGTTGTAAAGAAGCTGTCTCTAAGTGTTATCGTCAGAGATGCTGAAATGGAGTTCTGCTACACAATTTTGTCTCTAAACTCATTTCATTGGCTTCTTTCTAGAGCTCCCACGCCAGCGTTACCTGGGGACTGAGTTCAGAATCCTGTATTCACTTACCTTTCCTGTTGTTTTTGGAGTGTGATCAGATTTCAATTGATAAATGAAATGGGGAAAGCTCTGGGGAAAGAAAGGGGAAAATGCTGAGACCCTGCTATGCATAGGCACAGTGTACCATGGAGGATGCTCTGGATATTCACTGACTGAAGATCAGAGTATTTGCCAATTATATTCCTGTTATTGTGTGTAAAACGGAACTAAAAGGGATGTCACTTCAAACACACACAGTCTGAGGAGCCGTACTCAGTATGGTATCTGAAGTTTGAAAGAGTTGGAAGTTAGACCACACCAGCATAGTGTGATTTTGAAAGAGCACACCTTCCTCGTAGCCCAGTATCCGAATCTGCCCCACCTTCCTGACCCTATATTTCTGCCTCCCACCTCCTACTCCAGCCCCAGCACCAAACCGGCAGGCACGTGGGCCCGGCAGGGTGGCTGGCACCGGTGACGCAGGAACGAGGCACTCGTTTCCGTGCAGCTCCCCATGCCTGCGTGATGCATGATGAAATGAACGGGAAGCAGCCCAACCCTGGCCTCGTGTTCCTGATAAGTGTCCTCTTTCCAAGGTGTGAGCAGTGCCTAATGGTGCGTAATTTACTTTATGGGAAAGTTTAATTCTCCGCTGTCACATTTTGCTTATGTGTCTCTAACTTTAGATAAGAAGAGCAGTGCTGCAGTATTTGGTACCGATGGCAAACTGCCTGGCAGAGCTTTCCAGGCAGTTGTTACTGATGCATTCCACCTTCAGGAAGAATTCTTGTTATTGTTGTCGTCATCTCCGCTTGCTAATCTAATTAAAGTATCCGCTCCAGAACCTGAAATGAGATTAGGTCCCTATTACACCCCATGCTTTACAAAATTATGATGGATGATGTTTTTTTTTCCCAGCCTGAGCAAGCTTGTGAGTTAATTATATTACAGAATGGCCTGTAAAACCTATTTGTTAAAAAAACCCTGTATTGACCATTTGCAGCAGCAGTAATTAATGTGGCAATGTGTCTTTTAAATAAACAGAGAAAAATTCTGTTCCCAATATTGATAATGTTTCCTAAAAAAAGAAAAAAATTACTATCAACTTATTTTCAAACCTTTCTTTGCCTTTCTGTTTAATTTTCAAAGACCATATTATACTTTCATCTACACTAGTGAAATGAGCTGACATTACTATTTCAAAGCCCAGTCTTTAATTAAGTAGCACCTGCAAATACATAATCTAACTTCAGCCAGACCATTTTGAAATGATTAAGACTCATAAAGGGCATAAAATTAAATGGCAATATTTTTTTCAGACAAAGAAATATAAATCTACAGAAGGAAAGATGATAAAAATAAGAAAATCTATGGACTTTGAGGTCAGCAACTAACTCTGATAGAATCCAATAGATTTTAATTTGGGGAATGAGGTAATTTTTTGAGCAATCAGTCTTTATCATTTTATAGCTCCTCCTCCTCCTCCTCCTCCTCTTTTCACAGGTCATAATTACCTTCATTGCTTTTTGAAACCATGGAGAAGGAAAAAAGAATAAACCGGAAAGGGATCCTGACAGAATTTGGCTAGGTAAACCAGACATCAAATGCAAGGGGACAGAGGAGGAGTTCCAAAGATGAGGAAATCATGTAATGATAGTTGCAAAATGTGGTGTCAGAAAATCAGGAAAGCAATCCTGCCAGCTTTTCCTTCTCACTTGTTTGCTCTTCCACTGTCACTGTACACATCTGTACTCTGGTTTCTTCTTTTCCCTCTCTCCATCGTTCCAGCCTGCTGTTTAGCCAAAAAGGAGAACTGGCAACAATCACATGGTGCTATGGCATAGTCCTTTTACAGCCACATATCCAGTGGCAACCCATTGAGGGAGTAAGGCTCATCCACTTCCATAGAAGAAAAGAAAACTATAAAGACAGATTATGCAATGACACTCAAAAAAAAGCAGTGGCCAATTGAATGTATTCATGGCATATACCCTCTGTAATCTGCTGAGGACTGGTAGAAAATATCTCAAAAAGCACCTAGAGAGTCAGTGGAAATTCCCTTTCTCTATTGCTTTGGCTGCAGTGAGTTCAGAGCAAAGGGTGTCAATGAAAGATGTTAAGATGTCCCTATCTCCCAATGTGAGACTTGCAGATTTCTACACAGCTAAATGTCTAAACTTCTATTATATGCCTTGCTTAAGCTCGATGCCCCACAGATGGGTATCTAGTGCTGTTTTAGATGCCCAGGTGTGTCCCACCCCATACTCAGCTGCTGCTTTGTTGGTGCTGGATGCTAGCCCTCTGTAGATATCTCAGGTTGCCTAAGGCACCTTACGTGGCACTAGGCAAATGATTCATATCTTCTAAATACCCACTGACTACAGCATGAGCTTAAACAGCCATTTTGACTGTAGTTATAATCAGTGCTTAGACATTTACCATAATTATAAACACCTACCCATACACATTAAATTTAAGAGTCTTAATCTGAAAACTCATCCCACCGTCTAGGTCTTTCAAGCTATACCACAGCTTTCTTATGTATTTCTATGGTAATTTGGCTCCTGAATTTTTCTAAGTCTGATTCTGCCTTTCATTCTTTAGCCTGGTACCTTGGGTTTGGTACTCTTACTATACAAAATCTACAGCTGTATGCAGTAGGGAGTCAGGTTTTTACCTTCTACTACAGCACAAGTAGACAGAGGAACAGTAGAAGCAGCCTTGGCTTCTATCCTAAGAAATAATGAAGATTAATATAGCAAACTAGGGGAATATCAGATGCTGGGAGAATGAAGTGAGACTGAATGACACTCCAACTCCAAGCATAAGGCTTCATAAATGTCTCAGTTTAAAAACTCCAAAATTTTATGGTCACTCTCTATTCAGGACATCTCTGAAAATAACACATAATCCTTCTTTCTCTTTTCCTTCCTCCACACATAAGCTTTATCTTTAAATATTTTGAATACCGATATGTTTTCTGACTTGGGTCTTAAGATTATGGACAAAACCAAAAAGGGTTTGAGATAAACCAATGTCAGAAGAGATTACAATATCCCAAAGCTGTAGCTCAGTTGTAGTAGTCAAGGAAACTGTTCTTGCCATGCAAAAAACATAATGTTAAGATAAAAAAGAGGGAAAATAGTTTTACCATTTAGCTTACTGCATAAATTAAAATGCAGCTGCTACAACAATCACTGTATTGCACTGGTTTCCTACAGAGTATCTGCTGTGCAATTCCTTTCTTTTCTTCTTACACATATAGGGGCTGATTCAATTGCCTGCTGCATGTAGTGAAAAATTGATCATGCTTTTCAGTAGGCTGTGGGGCGTCTGCTGTTCTCTTACTGTTAGTTACATGTTTTCTGTAACTCTTTGTTCTTTAGACTTTGTCACTCAGAAAATATGCAGCTGACTATAGGACAAAATTACTTTTTTTATAAGTCAATAAAAATTTGAACAACCTTCAAACCTAATAATAGTTTTGCATACAATTAACAGAAAAAGAAGACAAAATTATTAACGTTATTTGGCTGCTTGTTAATTTTGTATAAGAAGAGTTACTACAGCTTACTACAACTGAATTTTTTTTCTGATGTTATGTTCATAGTAGTGAGGTAGAAAATAACTCCCTTGTGAATAGTACAAAATTTTACCATGTAGCTTGCAGCTGAACAGAGATCTCAACTTATGAGCATCTACGGTTTTAAAATGGGCTTCATGAAAGCACATAAACATAGCTGAAGAAAACTGAGAACCTAAGATGACATTTTTTGCTCAGCCCAAGTATGTAAGCATATGCTATGTCTGTAAGCAGACCTACTCAGTTCTTTGGAAACAAGCAAACAAAAAAGTATGTGGAATCTCAAGATTGTCAGGGAAAAGAAAATAGAAGAACAAAACATAAAATGTCATTAACACCTATTGATATCTGGAGTTAGAGTACGCAGTGCAGTTCCTGTCCTCCCTCTTCCCCCTTTTTCTAATTCCGTTTATGCAGTAGTAGAAAAGATATGGAGCAAGGTAAAAAGAGTGTTCAAAGGTGTGGAGCAGCCTCCTTGCATACACGGATCAAACAGGCAAAGATTCTGTGGGTTTCAATGGACACTACCAAGGAATTCAGGACAGTATCTTCCATATGTAGCCTTTGGCTCAGGGCCATGTCCCTGTGGGCTAGAAAAATAACGTAAAAATAGCGGTATAACCTTGCTGTATCCTCTGCTGATGGCCACTAGCTTAGGTAGACATTTGATCTCATTTGTAGTTGCATCCTTATGCCTTTTTGTATTTAAAAACTGACTGACACCCTATGTGACTTTGTAAATCGGCACCACCTGCTCTGTGTAAAAATTAGACAATTGCCTGTGAAGAAAGTCTCTTCAGAAACAGGCAGCAACTGTTTCAGGATACTGAGGAATAGTATGGACAGGGTCCTCTTTGGAGCTGATTACAGCCATTTTTCAAATGCTTGTCAGCATCACACAACAAACATAAGACTGTGTGCTGGGACAAATGTTGTTGAAGGTGAGTCACAGGATGGCACATCTATTTAAACTAGGGATCTGTGCAAGCCAGCCATTTAAAAAAAAATAGAGAATAAGAAGAGAATACTAGCTAAGTGGATATTGAAAAGTATTAATGAGAATCGCTTTGATAGATCCTACAATATTTTCTACAGTGTCATTCCTGGTACAAGTCTACTGTAGGTGTCCTGGAACAAAATAGCCCATGAGTTAAGACTGGTTTCACAGCTTTGCTGAACCAGCAGTGGGAAAATATATAGATCAAGGGACTGCAGGCAGAATTGAAGTATGCAAAGCAAATTAGGATGTCAAACAGAACTGGGAGGGTAATGAAATCCAGAAGACTGCCTACCGCAGCGTCAGTAGTAAAGGGGAACGAACACAGGAGGTAGACTCCTACAGCTACCCCAAGAGCCTTTGCTGCTTTCCTTTCACTCTTGAATGCTCCTTTGTGTAGCTGAGACCTGGTACTCCTACTCGTGTTGTTTATCAGCCTGGTTTTCTTGTTAGCCACAGTAAATATTTTTACCTACAAAACTGTCATTACAAGGCAAGGGAAGAAGAATACTGGGAAGTTCAACCACCCCCAGATCTTGTTGAACAGCAACTGACAGCTACCAACACAGGGCACATCTCGCAAAAAATGGCCCAGTCCTTCTGCAATCGCTTTAGTGTAGAGGAAGATGGAGGTATAAGCCATAGACCTGCCCACCTCACCCCAATGTAAATGCAGACCAATCTTACGGTGAACTTGGTGGGGTAGAGCAAAGGGTCACAAATGGCACAGTGCTGATCAATGGAAATGAAACACAGATGAAATATGGAGGTCAAGCAAAAGAGTGTGTCCAGAAACGTGTGCAGCCTACAGAAGTCATCTCTGAAATACCAGCAGCTCTTCATGGACTGGATGATGCTGAAGGGGCAGCATGGTCAGGCCCAGGAGGAGGTTGGCAAGGGTGAAGGAGAGGAACAGGAGGCTGGCAGAGGTGTGCAGGGCTTTGAAATGGGAAACGACTATGATGATGATGAGCAGGTTGCCCAGCACCGTGATCAGTGTGCTCAAGGCACAGGCCACATAAATGGCCAGCTGGACCCCAGAGGGGTGTAAGGTCCTGTAGCAAGAGCTGTTCGCCTCGTAGCACAAGGTGACGAGCATCCCCTCCTCAGCACTGGGGCCCTGGGCTGAGCTCAGGCCAGCCTGCTCAGGTCCCACTGCCTCCCCCATCTCTGCCACAAGCCTGGAAAAGGATTCACCTTCCAGCAGAGGTGCCAAATGGCTAACCTGAGAAAAAAGTAATAAAGACTCAGGTTAGAAGGAGAGATGTCTTTTAATCAAATACTTTGATTAAAGCCGTCAGACAGTTTCCATATTTCAAGTGAAAAAAAAGCCTGATTTATCTGTTTTGTATCTCTATTGAAACAAAGCATCTCCAGATCAGTGTATTCAATTTTTGTGGCATCATTTTTTATATTATATTTTGGTTTTCTTTCAGCCAGTACTGTGAGTAGTACAGGAAATGCAGCAAATCCAGAGGTGTGTGGGCAAGCAGTCAATAAAGAGAAGGTCTGCCTTAGAAGGAAAACCAGTGCTGAGTAACAGGCATTGCAAGCCAAATCTGCTTAACGGATTTGAAAGCTGACTCTAGTGTAATGGTACACTGGTTCTTATGAATTTCCCTGGAAACAAAGTTCCAATATAGTTATGATTCTTTTTATTAAGCAGAATCTGTGAAGTGATTATTCTAAAACAAGTAATATCTGATTGCAAAGGAAAACCCCTGAGGGCAAGTTGCTCATTTTATAATGTTCTGGCTATGAGGTTATATATGGATATCCATTGTGTTGATGACATAAATATTCAGCAAGGGAAACAAACTATTGTTATACGCCCTAAAGATTGCCTTCTTTTCTTACTTACGAATTGCTATTTAAGTTTTAAGTTACTTACTTTTTTATTTGAACTATAAGAAATATACGATATTAATGGATTATAATGGATTATTCCTGTAGTCTTTTTAATAAATAAGCTAACTCAACTGTATGATTTTTAACAGTAAGACAACTTCGGTTAAAAACATGCCATTTTTCTATATGTGTTTTTATTCTTGAAATGACTGGTGCAATAGCTGGAAATGATCCCCACCTTTTCTATCATTCCCAGCAGCAACAAAACATAATAGCAAGTCTCTCTTAATTGTATTTCCATAAACTTTTAAATCAGGAGTACTTACGGTAAAATATCTCTTTTCATAGAATGTGAGCTGTACAGCAGTGCACTGAAATACTCTTCTAAGTACATGTCTACTGCCTGAGTCGAAAGCATGAGATATTATATAAACAGAGAGAGGAGTACCCTATAGGTCACTAATATACCTTAAGGGTATAGAGATGAGATACCATTGTCTATTTGGCAAAATTGCCATTTTCTAAGAAAAAATTTAGATGCACACGTGCTCAGCTGCTATTGAATCTCTGAAGATAAATGTACATCAGAATCTGCTGTGAATTTTCTTTCTTCAGGTATTCCTGCAAGAAGATGCAGCTAATGCTGGCTCATCCTGGGGCATCAGTGACCCTCACGCCCTGGAGGCCTCCCTTGCCTGCTCCTGAGGCTCTGTCTCCCCAAAACCGTGTCTTACACTCCAGAAGGAGGTACATCTCTGGATTTTCCTTGCTTCCCCCATAACAATCCCCATTTCTATCCCACAGTATAAGCTGGCAGAAGTGGGTACAGCAGCCTTTACTCCTGGATATTTCTTTGATGCTGTGGAACAGTCTGTTTTAATGTGGACATTACAGAGACAAATATCGCTCAAGAAAGTCCTGGATTTTTCATCCTAGACAGGATATGGGGTTTTAAAACAAGCTTCTCGCTTTTCAGTGAAAGTTTTCCTGGTGCTTGGATCCTCCGCTTTCATCTCCTGCTCAGGCAGGGCAAGCTCATACCAGCTCCTTAAGGGACTCTGACGGTACATCACCCAGAGTTGTCTTCTTCTTCCCTGTTCCGCAATTATTTTTTTACAAGCTCTCCAATATGACTGCCATCCTTCACCTTCCCTACTTTGAGTTTCTTTGGTTAAGAAGTTGTCTGCTGCCCAGCTGCCCTCCCTCTTGATGTTTGTGAGGCACCGTGTGCCAAAGACTGCTGACACCCAGCAGAGAGACTGTTGGAATAGAGCTGGGGCAATTGTTTAGACTGAATTTTTAATATGAGAAAGAGCTAAAGTCAGCATCAGTTACCATATCATTCTGTGTTATGTCAGGACACAAGTAGCAGCTCTTACTACAGGGATTTAAAAACTCCTATGAGAGCAAGATACTTTTATTTTTTTCACTTTTGCTTCAACAACATTTTAAGGCAACAGTTCCACACTATCAAAAATCCCAGTGCAAAAAGGTATAAATTAGGCATAGTTTTCTGAAACACTGTGCTTAGCTGGAGACTTGCCATAAAACTTCAAAGAGATTTGTTTCTCCTTTTCCTATTTCCACATTGTAATAAGTGATCATTTGGATTAAGATTGTCAGCATCTTTTGGATAGCTCTTGATATTAACAATAGGTTTTTTGTCCTTGGTGCTCTGACATTTTCATTGGTTTTCATTCTTCCTGTATTTTATATGCAATAAAGTATCATTTTCCTCCAAGTACTTTGTCATTCAAATTCCAAGTGAAATCACGTCCTTGTCAAAATATATACTCTATGTAGCTAGCTAGCTATTGTGATGCTTCTGAAGTTATTCTCACCACCCCTAAAGGGAAGAACGTGTAACAAAACAGTCTCAGCTCACCCTTGCTGCACACATTACTTGTAGGAATCACTTTGCATTTTTTCCCTTCTCTTCTGGTCATGGGAAGAGAGACCAGATCACAATTAAGAAAAGGCTCAAGTAATGATAATGTAGGTCTTTACACTTTGGAACAAAGAGAGCTTTTTAACATGTATTAACTTTGAAAGTAAGAATGCCATCATAAAATAAAAAATGCCAATCATACTCAAGATGTTTCTTCTCTTTACCCTTCCTTCTTCAGACAAAATTGCTGGATAATAGTCTCAAACTGATCTTGAATGTACTATGCAGCATAGTAATACACAGGAAAACACAAAAAAATAGAAGGATAAGTGTGCTATTTAGTATGGTTCAGTCTGCAGTGAAGACATGTATAACCAATGTCTTTTTTATTGAAACTGTTGCACATAACCTGTAGGATCTAAATTCCTCTAAGTAATCTCTGAGTCTGAGTTCCTTAAAATAGAACAAGACAGATTCAAAGGATTATGGTCTTTCTAAAAGGCCATCATCAGTGCTCCCTTGCGGTCAAATTTTTCCCCGCAGATTCCAAAAGGGTCAGTCTGGGATCCCTAAATGGAATATAATAATATGAGAAGGCTATGGGCTCACTAAGATGACCTACATTGAGCTAGCGAACCTGAACCTCAAATCTTCCGTCACATGTATTATAGCCATAGAGCCTATAGCGCAGCCTTTTGCTCTCCCTTGAAGTAGTGAGCAGTGATCATCTCTGAAAAAGCTTGGAGTATCATAGATGAGTGTATTATCATACAGCAGTGGGAATGTTTGTACAGTAAACACCCAGCCCAGCTTAAAATTCTGGTAGGTGTAGCGCACCCCACCTCCGTGCAGAGCGGGGGTCTCTGTAGGGTGCAGTATGTGTTTTTTCTTCGTATTTCTTACACAAATAGCAGCATTTGGCCTGCAGTTTTGTAACTATGGAAAATTGTTGTCTGCAGCACTCAAAGAAATTGTTCCACCTGCTGCATCCCATTTCTGTGTGACTTTTGCTTATTTGTTTTGCTGCTCTTGGTTACACTGGCCTGTGTCCTGTCCATTCAAGTGCTCATGTAGAACATGCCTATATGAGCAGTTTTAGAAGCAGTACCTCTGTGAGTTACCCGTGGCAGCTTAAACTGTGTAAAAGTGGAAGTGAATATGGAGAGAGAAGAACTCACTGGCGTTGTCCCCATCCATAACATCTTTGACCAAATTAGTCAACTGAAGAATTAGAACTGAGGAAACTGCAGATTAGAGGAGTTAAAAAAGGATATTTCAGTTCAGGAAATTAATAAAAAGAATTAATAAATTCAAATATTTTATCTGTTATCTTTGTCATATGTTTGTTTCAGTCTATTGTCTTCAGCCACAATAAAATGTTTTTCTTTCAGTTTATTGATCTTGTTATCCTCTTATTGTCTCCTTTTTTGTAATTTTTGTCAAATTTGAAATTATTAATATCATAATAAAGTGAAAAATTCAAGTAGTTCATTATCGTCAAAACACTCCCACTCATCACTTTTTTTCTGTCTAAACTTTTTTCTGAATGTGACCCCAAAGTGCAGGTTTTAGTGAATTCAGTGTTTAGTGATGCAGTAGAGCAATTGCAAAAGATATGACAGAAAATGTCAGAATACACACAGAAAAAATTTGAATGTGACATACTCTGGTTCGAGTTCTCTGCAGAGGAATTCATTAATAACAAGGTAATCCCAAGACTGCAAAAGAGGGCTGCAGGTACAACTGATATAGCTTTTCCGCAGAGCTACTGATTCCCTTTGCTGTTGTTTGCAGTGAGCAAAACACGTCAGCTGGGAATAACCTAACCAAAACAAGCAATATGTTAATAGGGCCTGTTAATTCACATTTCAAAAGGAAAATTAGAAACTTAAGATATTTTAAGCTGATGAAAGAGGAAGGGAGAAGTAAGGCGTTGTACTACATAACACTGGCAGAACAAAATGAATGAAGGGAAATACAAAGCTGAAATACAAGCCACCAAGTAGATCAGCCTGTGAAAAGCATCAAATGGCCTTCAGCCATCTCATTGTGGCCCGTGCAAAGCTGCTTTTTTATATTGGGCAATTTTTTAGTGTCACAAATTGAACATGGGCAGCTCCTGCCACCATGGGTTGTTGACCAGGGGCAGGAGAGCACACAGCAGATTAAAGCAGGCCTCCCCATCACCTGTCTTCTGCTGGTTGGAGGCACCTGCACAGCACTGACCTGCAGCCAGACCACGATTGCAGACCAGGCAGATATCGCTCACTCCCTGCAGTTTCTACCGAAGGAAGCAGAAATGGCAAATATAATTAATTGCACATGATTTCTTTCTTGCTCAGCCACTGTGGGACCTGCAAGGGGATATTCTGGGCCAGGGCTTCTCCATAAGCATCAAACATCACTTTCAAACCCTGCAGAAACATATTTTC